GGATCGATGTGTGATGCATTGAGTAACAGGCTTTCTTGTAGTCATTCCAGGCGGTGCAGAGGTTGGTCAGTCGAGTCTTATAGTCTTGGGTGACTGCTCTATCTACCAGGAGCTGGTGTTTTGCTGTCATCAAGTGCTTGCTCATTGGGGGTTATGTGATTTTTGGGATTTCTTTTTAACTGTAAGGTCTTTAACTTACAATGTAAACCGCCTTGAGGCAACTATAAAAATAAAATGGAACTTAACTGAATCATTTTTATGCACGGTTTAACAAGAGCAGTTCAAGTATTCTGGGACACAGACAGAGGACAAAGAACTGTGAATTCCCTTATTTCTGTTTGTGTTAAAAAAGGTTTTAGCACAGTGGCCAGTGTGACTTTGTTGTTATATAATTGTTGTGCAGATGGACATCATATTGAACTCTTCATGCGAGTCATAAGAGTCCAGGTAATTCCAGACCCCCACATAGTGTTTTGAAGCTATTTGAAGCAACCAACAAGGTTCACACAAGATTAAAGACAAGTGCTCCTTATGGACTGCCAGAGACTCTGGGATCTAAGGAACATATTACAAACAAAGCAAATACTACTCATTAAAAGCTCCATACTCGCAGAGTCCAGCATGTCCAGGTTGGGTCTGAGCTCCACAGGCTGCATCTGACTGCTGCCCGCCCTCATCTTTTTGCTCTATTACTCCACACAGATCTAAAAGGAAGAGAGGTACCCATTTAAAAATATAGAAAAACATCTGTGAAAATCAATACAAAAATTCCTTAATTGAAAAATTCCTTATAATATTCAGAACTCCATTAATTCAGCCAGGTTTCTTCCTGTTAAAAGGGAGTTTTTCCTTCCCACTGTCACCAAGTGCTTGCTCATTTGGAGTCATATGATTGTTGGGGTTTTGTTTTCTTTGTATTATTACAATATAAAGTGCCTTGAAACAACAACCGTTGATTTGATTTGGGGCTGTATAAATAAAACAATTCAAATGTATTAGTATTAATTTGTATGTACATTTCCTAAGATAGCCAGTCATGGTGTCAAATCAACAACAATGTGTTACATTCTTGAAAAGAACGACTAAGCTAGCCAGCTCAGCAACACTTAAAGGCCTAAAAGATCACAGAAGACAACTGAAGTGGACAAATTCGTTCCACGGTTGACAAAAACACCTTCGTAGCATTGAGTCGGGTTAAGAAAGCAGCACAGAAAAAGAGAAATGCAAAGAGAAAATAGTCTCAAAAGGGACACAAATGTGTAAGATATTATCCACAAGGGTAAGCTAATGTTTAGAAATATGTAACGCTCAGATATATATCTGTGATAAATGGCATGAGATCAACTGTAAAACATACTGGAAGCCAGTGGAAACGGGCCAGACGAACCCAATTCAGAATTACTAGTATTGGTGTTGGGTAGAACGGTGTGCTTTACAAATCACAGCTGGAACTATGCAGACCATCATAAAAACCATTTTAATGTATTCTTTGGTTTCATTTTTATGACTGATTTGCTCAAAGAGATGAAACAACTAGTAAATATTCACAAAGACATTTGGAGCAACCATGGACACCTCGACTAAACTGAATTTAACTAACAATATGTTTACTTTCCAGGACAGAGTAGTGATTTATCCTGTCTGCCAGCTTTTTGATCTGAATGCACTGTTGTGCTTTTCCAAGATCAGCTCTTCAGGGTTTATCTGTTTATTTCTTCATTTCTATTCATCAAGACATAATAGAGTTACAGTTGTGACATTATAAGTTAAATTTAAATTTTAATAATAAAAGGACGGAGCATAAATGCAAATGTTCGTGAGTGTGAAAGAGAGAAAGAGCGAGAGCCCAAAGGCTGTCAGTCCCAGAGGGCCAGAAGTGACCGGCAACCAGCCCTGCTACAGGCCACCCACCCCCGTACAATCCCAGGGCTCCAGGTGCCTAATAACCGCCCGGTGCCCAACAGTATAATGAAACAGGTTACATTTTCAGGAACGCAAATGTAGAAAGATTACCCTACAGAAAGCATGTCCCAGCGCCTAGAACAGAGGAGGGCAATCTCAGTCCACGAGGGCCGGTGTCCCTGCAGGTTTTAGATGTGTCCTTGAACCAACACAGCTGATTTAAATGGCTAAATTAGCTCCTCAACATGTCTTGCAGTTCTCCAGAGGCCTGGAAAGAACTAATCATGTGATTCAGGTGAGATCTAAAACCTGCAGGACACCCCTGGCCTAGAAGCTACAGGCAAACAGAAAGAAATGCTCCCAAACCAACAAAAGACAGATTAGTGCTTGACACAACATACAATTCAGAAGGGGAGAAAATCCAACAGAATATTAATTAAGCTGGGGTTTAATTAGTTTATTCAATTTAATTTCATTAAATTTAAAGTCTTAGCTGTCACCTATAGGCCAAAGCCTCCCAGCTGCAAACTTTTTTAAACTGGTAGAAGAAAAAGACATTTGATGAACCACATTTCTCTTCCTGTACAAAGAGGAACAGACAAATGCGGAGTAAGTTTGTCGGAGGTGGAACAAACCCAGTTTCTTTGCAATAAGAAAGCTTTTTGGATTTACAGAGCCCACCAAATCCCCTAAAATACAAATGGTAAATGGCCTGTATTTAAAACACTGATTACTTGGATTTGACTTTTTCAAAAAATCTTATTTGTATTTCACCCTTAGTTACTATAACGACCCAAGGGTCCAGCGCACTCTGCCTGGGATAGAGTTACTGGGAGTGGATTGTGTGTCAGTCACAGGCACTGGTCCTGGCGCTCCGATCCAGGCTTCTGACACTGGCACATGGAATGTCACCTTGCTGGTGGGGACAGAGCCTTAGCTAGTGGGTAAGGTTAGGAACTACTTACTAGATATAGTCGGGCTCACCTCAAAGCATAGCTTGAGCCCTTGAACAAGCTTCCTGGAGAAGGGTTGGACTCTGTTCCCCTCTGGAGAGATTATATTATCACAGTCTGCTGTCCCCATGACTCAAACCCAAATAAGTGATTGAAAATGGATGGATGGATGAACAATGTCCATTTTGAGATACTGGTTTAAGTTTACGGTCGTTAAGTCTGACGTCACTAGCC